GTCAAATCAGTGAAGACTATCCCTCATTCGGGCCATCTTCCCAGGTGAGTATAGGTTGTGAGGAGCCAACAATTAAAACTAACCATTAAGGGAAGGTTCTAGAAACTTCAGGGGGCAGGACCTGGCTAACACAAGCAGGTCACTGTAGGGAGGTCCTTGACAGTTAATTACCCTTGTTCTTTCTGGTTACACTTTTTTACGCTTCCTGAATGTCATGATGTTAACTGCTCTGCTCTGCCGTGCCTACCCTGACATGATGCCTTTCACTTGAAACTATGCGCCCAAATAATTCTTTCCTTTTTCAGGTTGTTCTCTTAGTTATTGTGCTCACAGCCATAGAAAAGTAATATGCCAACACAGCCAGCTCATAAAGGCTGCAGTAATGACTATGAGTGTCCAGCGTACCAAGCCCAGGTGCCATAGCACCTATCTTCCGGGGATATATGAGTAGCTCTGGGTAGAAGAACCCTCACACCAGGCAGCCCACAAATAAAGTAATTACATAATGCCCCTGAAATGTGTCTTCCTCAAGATCTGGTCTATAGCCTTGTAAACCGACGCCTGCTAGCTAGTCGATCAGACCCTGCCTGTCTGTTCTACACTCAGAGCACATCTCCACTGTCATGCCCAGAGCCCCAGAATGCCTGTGATAAAGCAGGAAGAGTCATAGCTTGGTGTTCACCTTGGAAAAATAAATAAATAAGAAAGAATGACTCTTCCATCAGAAAATAAATGGCCCTTCTGCAGGCAGAGTCTGGATTAGCATCCTGAAGGACAGACACATCATCTTCACCAGGCAGCGTCAAGTCATAAAGTGCTGGTTCCTGTCAACCAGGGACCCCCCACCTGCACTCGGAGGGTAGTTAACAACCCGTGCCAGCTCCTGTGTCTACTAAAAAAGTACACTCGGGTCCAGTTCAGGATGCCCAGGCCTGGTTGAAACAGCAGTACACTTGTTTGTTTTCTAGCTTTCCCAAGAATGGTGCAGGGGGTGGAGGGGGACCTCAGCAAGGAGCCTCTATAGGGTGCAGGGAAGAAGGGCCCAAAGCCAGGCAGCAGCCTTTAGGGCCATAAAGAGTTGCCATAGCAGAAGTCCAGGTTAAGTGCAAGAGAGTTTCTGCTTGCTCTAAGTCTCCGAGAAATCATCTAATCATTAAGGGAATAGTTATGAGGGAGAAAAGGGATCCACATCCCGGAATCTGAGGGTATAGGCTGTGAGCTGCCCATGTTGGTGCTTACAAAGTTGAAATCGTAGATGACTTCCAAAGTTCACCCAATTAGTAATCTCAGACTCTTTAAAGGTCACCCCAAATGTGGCTGGGGAATTATCTCAGTAAGTGAAGTGCATGTTATACAAGAATGACAATCTGAATTTGATCCTCAGAATCAAGTAAAAAAAAAAAAAACAGGGTATGGTGGCTTGCACTGCAGAGGCAGAGACATGAGGACCCCTAGCCTATTTGATGAGCTCCAGTCCAATAAGAGACCTGGTCCCAAGAAAACAAGGTGTCTATATCCTGAGGAGCAACACTTGAGTTTGTCTTCTGGCTCCCAAGTACGCATGCACACACATTCATAATCACCCCAAAATACATACACAAGAACTACCCAAACATACAAGTGGCATTGTCCAGTTCCTGTGGCCATGTGTGCTTGCTGTGGGATGCTCCAAGTTCCTAATGCAACTAAGGCTAGGGGACTGTGCCTTCATGTCCCTACAGCAGGGTTTCAGTACACACGGTAGAGAAGGCTTGATGGAGCAGCTCAGCTCATGGCAGTGGGAGCAGAGTGGGTGAGTATGGGTATTCACATCATGGTGGATGAAGCAGATGGAAAAACAGCAACCAGTAGGTGGATAACCTTTAATGGGCTACTCCTAGTGACCTACTTCTGCCAGCAGGTTCCACCCACTTAAGGTCCGACATCCTCCCAAAACATTACCACAGGTGGCGAATACAAACTTAAAACATGAGCCTACAAAGGTACATGGGTGCCTAGAATGCACAAGCACCATGCAAACATCAAAAGAAAAGAAAACAGTGTTATGATTTTTGTGGACTTGAATTCTGTTTAAATAGCTGTATAACAAAATATGGAGAGCACTTTCTGATCCTGCAGAGGACCCATGTTTCGTTCCCAGCACCAAAACTAGGCAGCTCACAGCCTGTACCTCTAGCTCTGGGCATCTGGTGCCCTCTTCTGGCCTTCACAGGCACCTGCACACACATGCGCATACACATAGACAAGTGCTTTTATGAACACAGAGAGAAATAAAAATAGAATAAATCTTAAAAGATAAAATACAATGAATCGTAAAATATAAAATACACTGACACATGTAAATACTCAAAGTTACTAGAAGGCAAGGCCATGGCAACTTCTCCTATTAACCTTCTTAACAACCAAATGTGGCAAATTTATCAACGTTCTCCTGTGTCTCTGTAAAGCCTTCCGATAAGCTGCTGAACATGCACCTCTAGCTAAGTGGCTTATTCATCACACCAGTACATCTGCTTCTGCTCCCATCAACTTACCAAGAATTAGTTGTGTTTATATATTTGCAAGAATTAAATACTACCTAAGCCAAAGAGATGGGGAACAGGAACAGAAAGTGGGGCCTATGAAAATGTAGTCAAACAATTAGATCTAAAGGCTAGTTACGAAACAAAAGCTTGTTAAGCATAGGTGAATTAACTGTAAAAGATGGGGCAGGGTGGTGGGAGTAATATAACTCCAATGAGTCATATACTCAGGCTCCTTTATAATTATTTTTATTTTATAAAGTAAAATGAAATATTTAACCTAACAAAAGAGAAAGGAAGAAAAAATTAAAAGAATGAGCTAGTGGGGAAACGTTTTAGATTCAAATCACCACAGGCTCCTACAAAACCAAAAGCAAAAATCTCCCGCATACTCATACACTGATGCATTCCAGTCACAAACTTCCAAGAACGGGGAGAAAAGCTTGGGCTTCTCTTTGCCTCCTAAATACACTTCCTACATCCTTAATATTGCATTTCCCCGAATTTCTACAAAGAATCCATATTACCTATATAATAAGGTGGGGGTCTTTGGGTTAGGCAATCAGAAAAACAAAACCCTCATGAGTGGCATCAGCATTCCTTTAAAAGAGGCCCGAGGGCATTAATTCATCTTTCTGACCACTGAAGGCACACAGGTATCATCTTGATATTAAACTCCCAGCTTCCCAAGCAACGGGAAATAACTTCCCATGGTTATAGGTCCACCTCACTATGGTGTTTTGTTATAGCAGTTCAGACGGACTAAGACACTGTCCAGGCATGGCGTTATCCTGCTGTGTTTACAAACCTGGGCTTGCCATGGAGACAGCAGGGCTCTCCTCTGCTTCTGTGTTGTGCATCTAAAAGTCCTTTCACCAAGAAGTGGCAAGGTCCCAGGGTATCTCTCACCTCTCAGGCCAACCGCCTCTGTTCGGATATCATAAGGTAAACAGATGTTCCTGTTGGGGGGGTGTATGCACGTGTCTCTGTCTCCCTCTTCCCTCCCTCAGTCTAGTTCTCTCTGTAGCATTGAAACTCAAACCCAGAAGCATCTACATGCTACACAACTGCTCTCTCCTGAGCTACAGCCCTGATAATGCCCCTTTCTCAACCTTCCCTACATGACCATGGAAGCAGCCCACAAGTCCCTTCACTGGTCATATGCATGAAAACCAAGCATCGCAATAAGCACACAAACAAGATAGATAACAGGAGGAAAAAAAACCTACCAATGGTCTATCATCTTTAGTTCCCTCCTTTCCTGCCCACACTCAGGCAATTGTAGCTGTCTTGGCCCAAGAAAGTGCTAGTGAGGAATTTATGCATGCATAAAACGTCACAGATCTGAACCTGACACTTAGAAACAAAGATGTGGACCGACCATCCGGAGTAGTTGCAACTTCTCTGTTGTCAAAGCAAAATTCAAGCTTGTATTGTAAAATGGCACTGCTAGAACACAGCGTTAGGAAAACTGGTTCTGCTTTGGTCTCAGCAAATGCCATCAACAGAATCAACCTCACTCTCTAGTTTAGATGTCCTTATTCCCTCTTTCTTTCTTTCTTTCTTTCTTTCTTTCTTTCTTTCTTTCTTTCT